TTAAAAAAAAATGGAAAAAAAAAAGGTAATTGTACAAAGAATCAGAAAAAAGATAGTTTTCTAGGACACATAATGAGGAAACTGGGCTTGGAGTGTTTGACACTCTCTGGACATAACGAAAATAAAATATGTAGCGGGAAACAGCTAGTAACTTACCTGACGAACTAGTGTAAATGGTTGGCAAAAGCAGTATATATGGGATTAAAACACTTTTCCCTTCTTTCCCTCTTCAACCAGGGGATGCCATAGTGATAAGATGTGTCTTGTTTCCCATCCATTGAGGCTTCTTCGACCCTGGCGAACTATGTATAGCATACCACACACTACACGATAAAAAATTTCATTCAATGACAATGTTATCACTATATCTGCGGGAATTGTCCACATGCACGACAGGCTAAAGCACGGTAAGGTAGTAAGTGGGAGGAAAGGAAAGAGAGGCTTAAGGAGAAGTAGGGTGGCTGTTGGACATCGTCTCGAATACGTGAACCCGTGGTGAGTGGGCCAGTGTTACTTTTACGTTATTGCGTTTACGTTTATATATTTGAGTTCACCCCAAGCAAGAGAGTAAAGCCACTAAAAACAGAATAGTTTGCGCTATGGGATCTTACCCATAATAATAATAATAATAATGGGCTATTCCATACTTAATAAATACTGCACCTCAGGAGTAGGCAAGAAGGTCAGTCAGTAGTTCAAGTGGAGTCAGTAGTTCAAGTCGAGTCAAGAGTCGAGTCAGAGGCAGTCCAAAACAGAGTCGCGTTCAGACAATTACTGCAAGACATTGGAATAGTGATACTGGTCGAGACTACATTGTTCTCTCTACTAAACCTGATTGTTCATACTAACACTTCTACTTCTCTGTATATATTCCTGTTTGTAATATATCTGTGTTATTCCATACCTGTGTTCGAGGTCTTCTTTATTGGTTATACCTTGGACTACCACCCGGGGTACAAGGAATCGGACCATAACAGTGTGCTTGGTGTAGAAGAATTAGAAAATAAAAACATTATTAAAGAGAAAGAACAAAAGAAGAGTTATCAGCAAGGCAGTAGATATTTCTGCCATTATTAAGATTGATGAGGAGTGGGCTAAGTTTCTATTATTGACACAGTCTTTTTTTTCCTTGGTTTATGTAAATAAATTTTGTACATTGCAAACATACAAAAGAGTTTCAATTTTTTAAATATTGTTATCACCTCTCACTGTCCACCTGAAATTGGTACATTTGGGGACTTTGTGATATTATGATGACTATAGTGTTGACTCTGAGGCCCTCTGAGAAGATAAATGGAGGCATAACGTCGCCATCACTAGTGATCACTCCAAACAGCTTCGCAATCAGCATTAGACTCATCCAACTCTTTCCGAATTCTTTGTAGTGTCCTCAAAAACTCTGAAATGTTCGTATTAAAGTTTCCGGTGCGAATGCCAAAAAGTACAGCATATTGTTTCAAAACTTCCGGCGGAGTGAATTGTGTCATGGTGCTCTTTTTTCTCCCAGACGATGCCAAACTGACCCTACTATACTGTGCAGTCGACAAAACCAAAAACAAACAACGCGCATGCGCGAAAATAAAAAATATAAAATTGCAACAATTTACCCATCGCACCTTCTAGGTGGCAGAGAGATCAACAGGTGTTAAATACGAGAAAAGAAAGTATTAGAGTAGAATTTACGATTAGTTCTACTGATTCCAAGAGTAAAATAATGAAACCAAGTTACCAGTCCAATAGTAAACTAATATTCATGCGGTCGAAGTATCAAGGGGGAGAGAACTCGTTAGAAAAACTGTCATGTAGATATTTATCGATGTTTTCCATGTCTCCATGGATGCTGTTCAAACCACAGAACCAATGTTGGTCCAGTAAACAGAATAACACTGTCGAAGACATAACAGTCAGTATCTTTCCTTGACTGCCATTCAAATTATTTTCCGATGTTCCACATATGGAAAGGTACAGCGTTCTTGTTTGCATTTTTTTTATCATGTTTACTTTTTCCCTAAGGTTTATTTTTCTTATGTCTGTGTTTTTGCTATTTCTTTAATGAGATTTAACTACGTCTTTATTTATTCATCGATTTTGTTCTGGCTTCTTTTTTTTTTTTACTCTATTTTTTCATAGAATGTTAATTACCTGATTTTACTGCTTATAAGACGCATTCTTCTAAATAAATAAACGGCAAATTCTGTCAGTTCGTCCGTGTGTCTGAAAACCCTCTTTAACTCGAGCCATACATGCACTATGTAGACATATTATTTATAAATGTAAAAGACAATAGGAAAACTGTAATAGTTGCCAACGCGTTTCGTCCAATGTGGACTTTTCAAGGCAAAAGGAAATGAATTTATGAAACAAAGCAACTAATATTAACAAAACAAAATGCCCTTAGCGATTGGAAGAATTTAGAGAACGTTATTTTCAAACTGTTAAATGAAATGACCTCAATTACTGTCATGTGTGGAGATAATGTTTTTATTGCTGTATTGACGGATTCATATTGTACCTTTTTAGAATCAGGATGATTTCGAGATAGAAAATAAGCTCTTCATCTGCTGCTTAAACCTCTAGTATTGAGATTTGTGTTCGGATGCGAGGGAACAGTTAAAAATTCAAATTTTAAAATAATTGGAAAAAAATAGTGATTTTAAAAGTTTTTAATTTATATTGAGTTTAAATTAACACAAAAACCTTGTTAATTTAAAAAAAAGGTTTTAAATTAAGTTTAAAATATCTCCCAAACTTTGTGAATTTAGGAAATTTTATTCCTGCAAAAAAACAAGGAGATTTATCAGAGGAAAAGTGACAGGTTTCGTGACGTGAGGTTTTGAAGTTCCACAGTTTGTGATTCGAAGAACTCAGTTTTCAGCCTGAATTGGAATTTCGGCTCAAGTCGGACTGTCGGCCCAAATCGGTCTTTTGACCGGAAATGGACTTAGTTTATCAGAGTTAAGGTGCGGTTTTGAAGGTCTGTGGAGTGAATGGAGGAATTCAGATTTAGTTCTTTAAAATTATCGTTGCTCTTTTCTAACCTGCACTGAAGGTCCCTTTAGTTTGGCGTCGGAGGCTCAGTTATCCCTCCACAGGAGCTAAATTAAAATTCCACATTGAGTGCGACTTCTAAGCTATTTTCCTATAAAGTATCTCCAAAATCATCCTGCGTCCTATAAATCTGGGGGGTGGGGCGAGGGGTGCACGTCAGCTCCCCAGTTGCCTTTCATTCTGATCCCTTGAATGTAAAACAAGTTCATTGCTTCGAAATTAAATTAACGTTCTGAGAGTCACTATTTATGGAGTTGGTATACTGGGATATTGACAGGAAACGAAATTCGCGACCCAGTAACACCTTCTTTCTTTCTTTCTTTCTTTCTTTCTTTCTTTCTTTCTTTCACTCCTTCCTTTTTTTTTCTTTTTCTTAAACTACTTGTCACAAAGCAGCATCATTTATAGTAGACACTTTAAGAATAAAACTACTGTATACCACGCTTTTCGCTCGATTACGTAATCATCTTTTGATACTTAACCCGAGAACACTAACCATCAATTAAAGTTATACCACTACTAACCATGGGTATATCATACCCGATTTTGAAAATATCAATATATATATATATATATATATATATATATATATATATATATATATATATATATATATATATTATAAATCTTTATTTTACATTTTTACATGCAAGCACTTCAAACTTTGTATAGGAACTGAAAAACATATTTAGATAAGAAAATCAGCTAGTGAAAATTGTAATTAAAAATATGAAAATTTGCGCTGGGTACTATATACCAATGGTTAGTGTTCTGGGGTTAACGGTGTCAAATATTGTCGAACAAATATAGTCGCCCACCAACAGATGAAACTACCACTGAAAATATGTGCTTTATGATAGTTACCATTAATTTGGTAGTTCTCGGTCTGTGATTAATTTGTCATAAGTAGTCAAGATTTCATGCTGAAATACGTTATTCAGTGAGTAGAATTGGGGATAGTGGAAAGTGATATGAATATAAGGAAAAACATTCGAATTTCTTTGTTCAAAATTTTTATTTGGGCGGGGAGGATAATACATCGGAGCGTCTTATAGATAGCGAAATACGGTAGTCTTCCAGTTTCATCGTATAGCGACCTGTATTCCTACACTTTCTGCGTTTTCATTTCTAATATCCATTATTTCCAATCTCAAACTCTGAAAACGTTTCTGCAATAATGAACCTGTTCGTATTAATTATATTTGTTATATTTCTGGTATTCCGAATATTTCTTCTCCGTATTTTATGTTTCATTGGTAAAACTTGGAAAATTTGTGTACAGCCTCGTAGTATGCTTGTATAATACACTCCCGTTAATTAGTCTTCTTTTTTTCATTTTGCCATTTCTCGAAATCTAATTGGCTTATCGAAAATTGTGATAAAATGTCAATTATTATAATTGACAAATCATTTTTTTTTATATTTTATATTTCATATTATCGTTGTGTAGACATTTATAAAAAAAAATAATAAAACTGAAAGAAAAGAACAGAAAGTACGTTCCAAAAACATCTGCAATAACGATTCATGGGAATGAAATAGCGAGCAGTTATGTTAGGGTATGAAATATCTGGGGACTGTCCTAAGACAAAGATAGTTTGCTAGGCCCCATCCCTTCCCCCTATGAAACTTAATTCTGTGTTACGAAAATTAATTTCAACAGGAAAGCTGGTAGCTCTTTCGAAAGTCAGCTAAGTAATCTGAAAAAAAAAGAATTATTATTCTTGGACATGTATTTTTTTTTTCACTCAAGAAGCTGACACAAGCACAATGTTTATTAATTATAATGATAATTATTAATGATAACATCAATTTTATCTTCCTTTTTTTTTTCCTATTTTTTTTTTCATTTTGACATTTGTCGAAAACAAATTGGCTCATGGAAAATTGTGATAAAATGTCAATTATTGTAATTGACAAGTTATTTTTATTATATTTCATGGATATTTCTCGTTGAAACACCGGTTCTCCTATGATCACCAAAGTTAAGCAACGTCGAATCGGGTTAGTAACTAGATGGGTGATCGCTTAGGAATACCAGGTGCTGTAAGCTTGAAATTGCCGGTAGTTCAATAGATAATGGCTTGGAATTGTTAATCGGAGAGCCGAGTTCCAATCCCCATTGGGTTCGTTATATTCACTTAGACGCAAATAACCTTGAAAAGGTATGAATCTACCTCTTCTCCCTAGCTATGGGTTAATTAGTAACATTTGTATTAATAAACCATTATTATCTCTCTCCAATAAAATAAAATGTTAAAACAGAAAATATTTTCTGGCTTTAAAAAAACTCCAACGGGTCGATAAGTCAGAATACTTCTATTGGTTTCCTGATTATTTGTTGAAGAGTATTTGTACCAGTTTGATTGAACATTTCATTCATGTTATTAACACAATGACTGAGTATTTCAATTTTGCTTAGTATCTGCTTAAAGGCAGGGTGGAGTCATGGATAGCGGTCTTGGATTGAAGAATCGAATTCATTACATTCACTTACGTGATAATACCTTTGAGAAAGGTATGAATCCTCTTTTTCTCCCCCAGCTATGGGTAAATAGCAGGACAGACCGGGTTCTATAGCCTTGGAGATGGCAACTGGTCTACCACAGAAAGAAATGGCAACCTACTGCGGAGAAAAAATCTGCCTCGTGGGTCATGTATCGAAAGATACATGATCGCCTAAGCGTGTATCACGCATGGCACATAACTGACTGGTTAACTACTGCGGGGGAAAATCTGCCTCGTCAGTCATGTAACGAAAGATACATGATCGCCTAAGCGTGTATCACGCATGGCACATAACTAACTGGTTAACTACTGCGGGGAAAATCTGCCTCGTCAGTCATGTAACGAAAGATACATGATCGCCTAAGCGTGTATCACGCATGGCAACATAACTGACTGGTTAACTACTGCGGGGGAAAATCTGCCTCGTCAGTCATGTAACGAAAGATACATGATCGCCTAAGCGTGTATCACGCATGGCACATAACTGACTGGTTAACTACTGCGGGGGAAAATCTGCCTCGTCAGTCATGTAACGAAAGATACATGATCGCCTAAGCGTGTATCACGCATGGCACATAACTGACTGGTTAACTACTGCGGGGGAAAATCTGCCTCGTCAGTCGCGTAACGAAAGATACATGATCGCCTAAGCGTGTATCACGCATGGCACATAACTGACTGGTTAACTACTGCGGGGGAAAATCTGCCTCGTCAGTCATGTAACGAAAGATACATGATCGCCTAAGCGTGTATCACGCATGGCACATAACTGACTGATCTGCTTAATAATGAAACCAGTTTGGCTAAGATTCATTGGAACACCTTTTTGTGGAGATACTTTTAGAATCTTTCTATTTGATACAAAAATTCAGTGTGTATCGTTATTACATTCATTTCTTTTATTTGTCAAATGTGTGGTAGAAATTTTATTTTATTGCTATTTACTATATTATTGTTTATTTCTTTTGATTTGCTGTTTGATGCAATCATTTACAAAGTCTTTCACCTGGGACCTATGGTAAATGAAGGATTTTTTTAGGAAGTTATTGAGCACAATGGAGTTAACATTTGATTGGTAAAACTATACATTGAAAATGTGTGTACAGCCCATTAGTATGCTTGTATAACTTCCTTATAATCCTCTCATGTCCATTTGACTTTTTTTTTTCTTTATTTTTTTCTTTCCTTTGATTATTAGTAAGTATCAGTTGAGGTAGACCTTCATTTGGAATCATCTGCTGATGGTGTCCATTCTCATTATTTGGAAGAACAGTACTAGTAACATATTTTTTGACACCAGCCTTAGTATCATTATTATTATTATGATATACATTTCTTTTTTCATAATTTCAAAAATTTAATTAATTTGTTAGTCATTATTACAATAAGACTAATGTGAGACTTATTTAATTTCACAAAGAGGTTTTCCAATTTTTTTATGTCTCAACCTTGTGATTATGTTTGTTGCCTTCTAATACCTGCATTTCTCATTGATCATGCAACTTAGCCCTCACTAATGTCAACACCATGATTAATTGGCACAAACTACATTTAATATCACTGAGCATAACTTGACAATATAGTAAATGTATTAACAATGTAAGCTATAAATGTTCATTATATAATGAATGATTTTACTTGGGTTACTTTAAATCCTTTCATAATCACCATATCAAAGTTAAAATGCAAACTACCTTTTTTGTTTGTGCAATCATATAAAATTCATTTGCACATTAAAAAAATAAATTTGTCGAAATCATCTGCTGATGGCGTCCATTCTCATTTCGAAGAACCCAATTTGAATGGCAACTCGGCTTCATTCACTTTCCCACTGCCGTAACGTAGCATCCCTGTGCTTTTTCTATAAATACTTTTTTTTAAAGCATTTCACCCCAAGCAAGTCGGGAGTGTCACTAGCACACAAGGGGTTACAGAGAGTGGAAGCAAGAGTAAATAGGCGTGATAGAGGGAAGGATGAAGATAAGGACGGGGAATAGAGAAAAGCATCCGGAGATGTCGATTGACATTGCATTTGAATAGTTTGAGATTATAGCTATCAAGGAAGCAATTCAAGGGAGATTCACAGATGGGAAGTGCGAGGCATGAAACTATGGGAGTAAAAGAGACTACATTTAACAGTTTCCACAGCGAAAGGGTGGGAGTGAGATACCAACCTAGTAGCACGCTTAAATTCATGCAGTTTGGGAACCAGCAAAAGTAGCTCGTCGGAGCTGTTACCATGGAAGTATTTGTAGAAAAGACAGAGGGAAACGACGGCACGTCTGTGAGAAAGTGACTGTAGACGAGATGCCATATCATGACCAATCACATTGCATATCCGTCTCTGGACTTTGTCGAGGACCGGGAGACGACATCGGGCTTTCCAGACCATATATGGCAGCATTTTGTAATTCTTCTGATGAACTATTCTCTATGGATTGTTTCAATTTGTAAATACACATTGGAGTTTAGATTTTTAAATTGTTGATTTAGTCCCCTCCCCACAAACAATGAATTGTACCTATGGGGACTAGTTAGACCTTTTATAGAGACAATGAGGTATTATGGTGAATGTAGTAAGAAAAGTAAATAAGGATACGTTGTTTTGATGTTAGGAATATCGTGGTATGTTTAGGTCAATGTGGCTAGCTATGTTTAAATTTAAGACAGAAGAAGACCATCTTTTTACCAATTCTTCATCTAGGTCTTCTTGTACCACATTTTGGAATATTTACAAATAAATATAACTATACTCTATGGTTCTTAGACTCTATGAATTTCAGCGCAGTACTAGATTGGCGATAGGGTTTCATCATTTTATAGCTGAACTGGCTAGATGTAACCGTAAATTCTGTGCTGGCAGTTTCTTCTATCGCACTTCTTGCTTGTGCAAGTGGCGTCTTGCTTTGCAGTCAAATTTGGTCTTCAAAATTTAAATGCAATGTCAATCGTTATCTTTTGTCTTTTTTAATTTCTGTTCTTTTATTTTCCTCTTTCCTTATTAATATTTTTCTTATATTCTTTAACTCAGTAACCTTCCTGTGTGTGAGTCGCTTTGTTGCCTTGATTGGGGTGAAATACCCCTAGTAAAACACTTGATGGCCAGTGCGAGATGTTTTTTTTTCTTTCTGTAATGTTTAATTTTTTTTTCTGGTGTTATGTTCATGAAACAATATTTTTAAAATATTTTATTATTGATATTATAAAGAAGAACTATAAAGTGGGTTGTAGTGCTAATGCTTATAAATTTAAAATTATTTAATAATGTAAACTTTTTAAACCACATAAATATTTCTGTCACTATGGAACTGAGACGTGCTTAGAAATGATTGTAGTCATGAACATCCACTCTTCTTGATCTTTTTTTTTATATTAATGCAGCTCTTCCTCATGTCTCTGTCCTTTGGTCTGCTTTATTCCTACTTTTCATCAAGGACATTTTCGATATTCTCTATCTATACTGATGACAAAACTATTTTCGCTTGTTTTAATGGTAAGTTTGACAAGTTTGATAAGGTTAAATTTGCAGCTAATCTAAAGAATAACACGACTCTATTGTTAACGGGGGCAAAGAATTCCCTTAACTTCAAGGTAGCATCTGAAATAGATAAGCGATGTCTTGCTTGATAGATAATGCCAATAATTGTGTATATATTTACTCAGTACACCTGAACACATATTTATGGACGCATCTCTCGTCCACGCGAACGTTTTTTTTTCTTTCTATCAAATATATATATCTTTATATTTTTACGCTTTTCATTTACATAAACAACATCTATTCCTACTGGACAAAAGTTGAAATCTTTGTAAACACACAACCTGGCTCTGCTTATATATTGAAACCTGTATCAGTGTTAAATCAAGAAGAAGCATAGAAAAGGCATTACCGACCCTGGCACAATTGCATTAAGGTAATTATTGATACTGCTGCATCTCATTGAATGTACTTGCGTTATTTTCTCAGCTATACAATTTCTATTATTCCCTGTCGGCTTTTCCATCACAACGTCGTCGCCTTTCTTTGCCTATCATCAAGGAAAACGGCATTGGGTCGGACAACCACAGCTGCAGGTGCCTCTTTAAAACATCAACAGCTTTTCACTATATTTTAGGTCGCCGACAATGGCACCTTCGCTAGACAAATACTTGTTAATCTCAAATGGCAAAGTGACGTCAGTGTGGAGACAAGCGGTTTTGATTCAGGAATTCTGATTTTCTTTATAGGAATTTCTTTAGATAATTTTTACATCTGCTGAACGGAGAGACCATGGAAAGAATCCGCAGGTGAGAGAATTTGCTGATAAAATTCTTCTGCGTAACTTTGCTTTGACGAGCGCAGTACGCGAGTCTCTTAATTTAAATCGCTTCTCTGTGATCTTTATTTTTATTTTAACCATATTCTTTCATGGCTCTTCTACGGATTCCTTTTCTTTATTAACTGTGAATTTACAAGACTTCTTGAGAAAGAGTAGCTATTTCCTCTTGTTTTCTCCAATCTAGTGAATTCAATGTATTCGGTCTTCTAAATTAGATACCAGCC